CTCAATTACTCAGGAACTTTTCCTTCTCTCTACCCTTTTACTGACTTTACCAAGTCGACCTTACCTAATAACTCAGCCTACAAGACAACTTCTCTAAGTCGGCCTCTTCAATGTACCTGGCCTCTTCGGCATTTTCTCCAGGCCAGCTCCAATGCACTCAACTCCTTGATGATTTCTCCAAGTTAACCTCGTCTAGAGTGCTCAACCTTCTAAATGATCTTTCCTTCTTTCCCACCTTATTATGGAAGCCGGCCAATCCCAATATGATCCTCCCGAGACATCCCGTGAAGTCTCTAAGATCTCACCATATAGTTAGAGCGTAATCTGTCCCGAGGAAGGCAACATATGTCTATTGAACATAGTGGCCCATCTTGGTTGGATAGGTGCTCCATACCTCATTACAACATCTAAGGATTCAATGACTAGCCAGCCATTTGACCTTCTTGGACCTCACACCTGCCACTTGATCGCCTCTAGGCTTGACATGTGTTTTACACCCCCTTTCATTGACAACCCCACCTCTAGCCAAAAGGTTGCCTATCAAGGCTCCCTTTTTCTTTCAAAGGCCCATTTGGAACTCATTAAGAATGAACTGCCCTTTATAGGAGCCTTTCTTGGTATGTTCTTCCTATATCCTTTCCTTGCTACTATAGCCTAGCATACCAAGGTTGACTTACCCAATAAATTGTACAGTTATCTTTTATACTAGACTTCTTCCCCTCATTGCGTCATAGACATAGGCTACAAAGCCCTCTTACTTCTTTGTTTTTATATTCCCAGTCATCCTCCTCTAGCCTTGACTTTCTCCCTTTTGTAGGGGCACATCATCTTTTTTCATCTATTGCCCATCGATGGTGTCTTCAAATGTCATTAGTTTACCTCGTCTTCTCGCATGTTTCCTACAAGCTTACATCATTATCTTCCCTCTAATTGGGACGTAACATAGGCCATAGGTTCTCCCTCCTTCCCTCTTCGAGAAGTGCCACCTCCTCTCCCTCAAGAACCATATAGTGCTACATAGCAGCAAACTAGTTTTTGTTGTTCACATTTTTGGTGCTCTCGTTGAGAACTGTTAGACTTCAAAGGAAAATTGAGGCTAGAGGTTCTCCCTCCTTTCTTCCCTCTTCGAGAAGTGCCACCTCCTCTCCCTCAAGAACCATATAGTGCTACCTAGCAGCAAACTAATTTTTGTTGTTTACATTTTTGGTGCTCTCGTTGAGAACTCTTAGAATTCGAAGGAAATTTGATTTAGGGGAAACATTGCTCTCCTCTTCTGCCTCATTGATGAATGCCAACCTCCATGCCGTCAATTGTTCACCACCTTTAATGGAGAAATTTTTTTAAAAAATATGTAGAATTTAAATAAATTTTATTTTATCTTTTTTTTTTTTTCTTTTTTTCGGTTGATCTTATGAAACTTATTGGATTGAGTATGCTGAACTTTTCAGCGTGTCTCCTTCTCAGCAAATTCTCTTGTTATTTTTTGGCCTCTTCATCATCCCAAATAACACCAAATCAAGCTAGTGCAACATATATTTCTAAGGAAAGTCCCAACATTTTGTCTATTGAAAATATCAACTGACAATATTTTGACAATGCGCATCACCTGTACTTCCTACTTGCAAGACTGAGTGATGCGGACATCAGCACGAAGATCTTACGCATCTATCACAGGAGGCGTCGTAAATCGACGGCTATCATTTAAACCTTCTATTATGATTTATTTTTCTGAATTTTAGTTCTAAATTAATGTACTTCCTGTTCTACCCCTAGGATAGTTTGTTTGAGTGTTATGGCCCAAGGGACAATTTTGTAATTTCGAATTTTCTTATATTGGGGCCTATAAATAAGGGCCTTAAGCTATTGTAATGGATGATTATTGATAATGAAATGTTTTATGTTCTTGTTGATCTCTTAGTGAGTTCATGTGATCTCTTAGTGAGTTCATGAGAGGAGAAGCCCGAGGAGGTTAACTTGCAATACCCGTCAATCTTTGGAAGAGTCCGAGGTTTGCGGTTCTTACGATCTCTTTGTGAGTTCTTTATTTATCTCTATCTTTCTCGTATATTCTTGTTCATCTCCTTCCTCCCCTCTTCATCCACCCAAGTATTCCCCCTAGCTCCACCTCTCTCTCTCCATGTGGCCGACCACCTTCCCTCATTTGCCCCTCCACCGCCGACCATTCCCCTCCTTTTTTCCCCCATCCAATTTTATTTCCTATTTTAGATTAAATTGAATGTGGGAAAGTTTTGAAATTCAAAATTAATCATTGCGAATTTTCAAAATCTTTCCTAATTTAAATAGTCTATTTTAGGAAAGTTTTTTAATTAACTCAATAACTCAATTTGAATTTCAAATTCAAATTGAGTTTAATTGAGCCCTCTACCATGTCATAAATCTCCTCTTTGGGTATGAATTAATTAAGGGATAATTCCGGAAATTCAAATTTCGTTGAATTTGAATTTCAAAATTATTTCCTAAAATAATTCTCCTATTTTGGGAAAGTTTTTTTATTTTAATCTAATTTGAAATTGAATTTCAAATTGGATCACAAATAATACTTTCCAAAATCTTATATCTATTTTAAAGAGCCTTTTTATTTTGATTAAATTCCCTCTTGGCTTATCCCTGCCGCCAGCCACCTATTTAGTCAATTAGGATTTATTTCCTAGTTGACTCATATTTCCCTTGGCAAATAACTCAAATCTTTCCCCACCCACCCAGCCGTTACTTCTTAAATCAAATCATTGATTTAGGAAAACAATTCCCTTTTTTTTCCTTTTTCTCTCACCCGTTAAATCCTGTCTTGATTGAATTAAAATCCCATTTAATTTTCCCTGTGGTCCCGCCATTTTCCTCTTCTCCGAATTGCTCCAGCAAGAATTATTTTTAGGAAATAACACAGCTTCCCAACTCCTCATTATCCCGTAACAGCTTATTTCTTTGGAAAGTTTCCAAAACCTGATTGCTGCTGCCAGTTTTCCCGTTGGAGTTAATTCCAGAATTTCCTCTTGAATGCTCCTTCCAATTTCCCTTGTTCCTAAGCATAGAACCCTGAAAATTTTCCCATATTTTAGGAGAAAAACCTGCACTGTTTCAGGTTTCTTGTAGGATTTGTTTCAGATTATAGCAAAGTCAACTCCCGTTCTACATCACTAAGGGTGTGGATTTCGATGCAAAGATGTTGGCCTCTTCAACCTAATTTTGGCAAGGCAATGTGGCGAATATTATCCTACGACTGACAACTGGAATGTGCCATTGCAAGACAAACCATATTATTTCCAATGGAAGAATAGTTGTTTAACAAAGCTAAGTACCCATTTGGACTACATTTAGTCCACATTTAAGGGAGCCACCACAAGTCTCCATTGCTTGAAGGTCATGCCTTTTAGATCATAGAACAATCCATATGGACTTCTTGATGACCAACTCTCCCCCTTAGAGAAATTGATGACTTCCTCTACTGTGTCTCTTCCAAGAACTCAATCTTGTCATTAACTTTTCCAAGAACTTGATGTTACTGACAATCTTTCTAGAGAATTTGGTGCCCTCTTTTAAGAATCCGTCGCACCTTCCCTTAGAACTCATCCTAATTGGAGTTCTCTTGAGAGCTCGTAGTTATCATCCCCTTTTTTTGGAAAAATTATTCTGTCCTGACAGAGTACCGAGCATACCGAGTGGTACTGAGTGCGGCACTGAGCGCCCAGTGTTGTGACGCTTTTTTATTGGTCTTTGGACATGTTTGGTGTCCGGACACAATAATCTCTCCTTTTTTTGAGTACTTGATGCTTTCTCCTAATAAGTCAAACTTCTTTTCACCCCCTTCCAAAAACAAACCAACTCTTTATGGAAAGTCAATCCCACCTCTTTCCTTAGCTTGCCTTTTATAGGCAACCTCAAAAGTCATCCTTCCCTATAACTTCTCAATAACTCAACCCAAAAAGATAAATGCCTTTACATATTGACTGGAGATTGGATTTCAAGAACTTGTCAACACATCGCTCTCTTAGTCGCGAAACCAAAGTCAATGTGCTAAGTATTTGTTTTTTTTTTTCTTTTTCATTTGAGTAGTTTCCAATCACTTTGGCTACCTACCATAGCCTTTGTCTACACACCTACAGGCCACATGCAGCCATGTTCCACAGATGTTGGTTCATGTATTTCAGATTTTTTAGTAAGCCAATAGGACAACCAACATGATGTTATCCTGCCGACTTTGCTTTTGCCTCTTGGTGAATCCAAAAGAGCTGGATGAAATCACCTTTACAATGACGCATGTATCTTTTTATGATGTGGGTATGGCAAGTGGAGTCGCGCCCACATGGATGGTTAACGCAATGATGCCGAGTTTCGATGTTATATGTATTTGCATTGCCCCTACATTCAAGAAAGACTCATTATGGTTTGTGAAATCCAACGATAAGAGCTACCAACACAAATTGCATGTGCTGCCTTCAAAAAGAATATAAGGTCTTCTATCATCCAATAAGTATGGTCAACCCTTAATCCTCCTAATGGTGGCTACAACATACTAGTCTGTCCTAGCTATGCTCCAATTATTTGTCATGTTAATGGGACTCGTCACTCTTAAATGATAGAAAGACCCACCCTAGGATTGATATAAACCGGATCAGCATACCTATTAAACTAATTGCCTTATGTATTTCGAACAAGTTCTATACTCGCTAATAAGTCGGTCCACTCGACAAGGAACTCTCCTTACTAGAACTACTTTGGTCAACTTCCTCCTAAGTTAGGCAGGCAAAGTATTGAACTTCCATGATTGATCTCTCTTTCTCATTGTATCCATTTTAATATGTTAACTTTGTTTTACCCACCATGTTTCTGGAGTGACTGCCAACATAAGCAATATTTTAAGTTCATTCTCAGCTTAGTTTTGCATCTAATTCTTCTGAAAGTTTGCCCATCTCGTGAAGTTCTTTTCATGCACAGTTATAATTTTTTTGTTTTTGTTTTTTTTTGTTTTGCTTCAATGGCAGGTATGTATTTGGAATTACACACGTTCCTAGGTTGGAGGACTGGCCCGTCATGCCTGTTGATCGCCTAGGGTTTATGCTCATGGTATTGCTTTTGTCATTTGAACGTTTGATTTTTAAATTTTAACTTTCTATTAAGTCGTTCCAATGTATATTCTGACATATTATTCCTGTTCTTTCAACCGTGTATGAAATTATTGAGATCTGGAGAAGGCCAACTGGATTGACCATTGAAAAAGGAATTTTGTATATGTTTTTGTTTAAGGACTTCGATTTGGAAAGTAAAGGACTTAGATTTATTTTCCAGGACCAATTTCATTAAGTTAATAATCGGTGGATGATAATATGATATAGAAAACGTTTGAACTTCGAAGGTGGAAGGGTAGGATAGCTCTGTTCTATCATATGATGTGATCCTTTATTATTTATGATAATCTTATTAAGACTCATGAAAGTATTAGGTTTAGTACCATATTGCCTAAGTAAAAAAAAAATATGTCAGTGTAAAAATATCAAATAAGCGGCCATTATTCGTAGGCTTAAATTTTAGGATGGATTTCTTCATAACTGTTCTACTTAAAACATGTCTTCTGTTACAGGATTTAGACAGTATCCATGAATTCACCATTTTTGTTTTTAGCATCAAACATCCACGCTAAGATTAATTATTCTGTGCGGATGCTGAACGCCGTCCGGAGACCAACCAAAATGCGCCACATCACTCTGTGCTCGGTATCGCTGATGTGGTGCATTCTGATTGTTCTCCGGACTGCGTTCTGTGTTTGATCTCCGCACAAAATAATTTCTCTAGTTTAAAGATCTGCTGTTATTTGTCATGATGCTTTCAACAAGTTTGTTTTTTTCTCTGCAGCCTCATGGTTTCTTTAACTGCTCCCCAGCTGTGGATGTGCCGCCTAGTGACATTGAGCTCAAGGAGAACCCAATCTCAAAGCCAATTCAGAATGTTTTGCTCAGTAAGTTGTGAAGAAATGCAAGAGCGAGTGAGAATCTAAACAATAGTAAAAAAAAAATATGTCAGTGTAAAAATATCAAATAAGCGGCCATATTCGTAGGCTTAAATTTTTGGATGGATTTCTTCATAACTGTTCTACTTAAAACATATCTTCTGTTACAGGATTTTGACAGTATCTATGAATTCACCATTTTTGTTTTTAGCATCAAACATGCACGCAAAGATTAATTATTCTGTACGGATGTCGAACGCCGTCTGGAGACCAACCAAAATGCGCCACATCACTCTGTGCTTGGTATCGCTGATGTGGTGCATTCTGATTGATATCTGGACGACGTTCTGTGTCTGATCTCTGCACAAAATAATTTCTCTGACGCAAAACCCTTATAGTTTAAAGATCTGCTGTTATTTGTCATGATGGACTAAAATCAATGGAGTATGCTTTCAACAAGTTTGTTTTTTTCTCTGCAGCCTCATGGTTTCTTTAACTGCTCCCCAGCTGTGGATGTGCCGCCTAGTGACATTGAGCTCAAGGAGAACCCAATCTCAAAGCCAATTCAGAATGTTTTGCTGAGTAAGTTGTGAAGAAATGCAAGAGCGAGTGAGAATCTAAACAATCTGTGACTGAAAAAATGTGTATTGTAATGAATAATATTGTGCTAGGATGCTTTAACTACCAACAAACTTCCTTTGAAACTTTTCACTATTATTTGAAATTTTGAAGGCCAGCAGTTTGAAGGAAATGAAATAAATTTGTCAGCCATTTAGCGAGCATGAATCGGCACCCATTGGTATGAATTTTGGCAAAACTTTTTTTCTTTTGTGATTCCTGGCCAAGCTAAGAATAGCATTGTAAAAAGTTCTAAAGGGCTCAGCATTGCAAAATATCATCTTATGTGCTGAGTTTTTATAAAGGATTTGTGTTAAGTTTCATTTTAAAATAGCACCATTAAATCAAATCGTACACTAACACAGTATTTTTCATATTTCTAAAGTGGTCTTCTCCTCATCTTTAATGCTTCAATGATACAAGTTACATTAGGACATACTATGTGCCATAATGTTGATCCTTCTTAAATCCTTATTTGTTTCCCTAAATTGTGATGCTTCTCTAAAGTTTTTGAATTAACACAACCCCTCAATGTTATAATCTACAACATAAAAAGTTCACCTATTCTATTTACCTTCAAAACAGCCACAACATTTTTATAAGCATTAAAGACATTAGCATGACTGAAAAACCTCTATATTGTAACACTTAGAATACATAAAGATTTTAAAAATTATCTCATATTTGATACTTATTTGACAAACAACAACAACAATAACATCAAGCCTTTATCCCACTACGTGGGGTCGGTTATATGAATCTTTTTTCTCCATTGTGTCCTATTAAAAATTAAATTCTCGTTTAAATCTAATAAAGAAAGGTCATTACTAATATTTTCTAACCAAGTCTTTTTAGGTCTACCCATACCTTTCTTAACATAAGTCAAATCTAATACCTCTATTCTCCAACTGGGTCATCAGAAGGCCGCCGTTTTATGTGA